ATATGGAGTACACAATAATATACCCCATTCCAACACTAAATTAATAGGGAACTTTCCCTACAGTAATCTCTCATTAAAACGAGTCTCTATTAAAGTCATACTTAAATTAAAATTTAATCATAAATAGGCCCTAATCTTCTTTAAGTTAAGGTCAAGTTAAGTGAGTTGACAGCCTCCTTGGGGCTTTAATACACTAAGGACACGACTCGAAGTTGAAGCCACTTCATGGCAATGAACTGTAGAGCCAGCAAATGGTCATGATGTCCTCCACAGAGAAACTGTCTATGGCTACAAAAGTGTGCCTTTTGTTTGAAGAAACCGCCAGATGCAAACGACAGCAGAAGGGGGGGAGAGAAGGGAGGGGCCGGACGTGCGTATGGAAGGCTCAGTGACCGGCTTGAAGGATACGCCACTCCACGTGCATATGCTCGATAGCAGGCAGTCGAAAATCAAGTTAACAAAAGACAAATGAGGACGCAGAGGGGGAGGGAGAGGGAGCCAGCGAGAGAGAGAGAGAGAGAGAGAGAGAGAGAGGAGGTAAACAGCGGTTGACAAAGGCAGAAGGTTGGAGTTGAGCAGCAGGAGACGCACGATAAGCGTCAAAGGACTTGGAGGCTAGCAGGAGGAGCAGGAGCAGCAGGAGGAGCCGCAGCAGCAGATACGAGCGCAAAAAACATTCCAATGAAAAACTGTGAAACGCTTGGCAAAAGAAAAGCGTATGCAGGAGGCGGAGGAGGCGCCGCTGGCGTACAGGGAGGGCATTCCGGCATGGTGAGCTACATCAAAGCAAAAGGCAGCGAGTGCTGCGGGCCTCACATAAATTGGAAGCCCAAAAAGAATTTTAAAGCCCGAACCTAGCCCAACAAGTGCAGCAGCCAGCAGGCAGCCGAAACGGAAACGGAAATGCGCCGCAACGCATTTGATTTGCTGCCCAGCTGATGGGGCCAACTGAGCTGGAGCAGGTGGAAGGAGAGGGGGCTGGTGGCTGCTGGCTGGTGGAGGCTGCACTTTAGTCACTTCAGCAAATATGTCGCCAAGTGTCGTTTAGCTTGCGCCGTGCAGTCGAGCACGTGCACCCAAACCTATTGCTCGCGCTAGAGATGGCCCCCAATGTGCCTTAATGAGAGCACGAGGAAGAAAGTAAACTAAACTAACAGAGCCAACACGAGGAAACACGAACACGAGTTGACATGTTTCGGAACGAGCTAATGAGTGAGGAGTCAATAAGAATCTATACGAGTTCTTGCTCAGGGCTCTGCATGAGTTGAAACGATTCTTGACGAGTGAACACGAATCAACACGAGTTGAGACTAACTAAAAACACGAGTTGACACGACTTGCCATAAGAGAGCAATTCAATACGCTCTAGCACGAGCTGACACGAGCTGACAAGACTCTTTACAAATTATTGTGAATTAGCACGAGTTGGCACGATATAGCATAAGCAAACACGACTCTCTCACGAGCTAACACGAGTTGGCATACTTCTTGTACTTCCATACGAATAAGCTCGAGTTAGCATGAGTTATTGGTTATCACGAGTTGACACGACTTAGCCTTGCATAACACGAGCTCATGCATCTCAGCTCCTGCTCCTGCTGTCATAATTGAATTGATATATCCAGCACGAAAAGCACGAGCTAGCACGACACATTTGAATTCCAATGCCTCATTTAATACATTTATTTTGTCTACTTAATTCCTGCTAATTTATTATAAAAATCTATCTCATTCATGCCCGTATCGTATATCGTGACACGATGCCAGGCATCTACCTTGTTATAGCCTCTCTTCTGCACCCTCTCTACTATATAGAAGGTAGCTATGTCCTAGCCCAATCCCGTTTGCACTGCGTCCTGTGCCGCGTGCTTTATTAAAATTTCATTGTTGCTGAATAGCAAAAACCAGAAAGACGAAGATGGAGAAGAGGAAGAGCGAGAGTAGCAGGAGGCGGATTGACTCCCTTTGGGGACATTGTTATAAATTCCAATTGCTTCGCTTGAGAAATGTGAAAAATGCGCCATGTAAATTATTTCAGCGTCTTGGACGCATTTTTTATTGTGCATGATAAATTTTTATTGTAATTGGCTGTTGATTTATGGCCGCAGGACGCGGCGCAGCAGCAGGAGCAGCAGCAGCAGGAGAAGCCACAGCCTCAGTCGCTGTGATAAGAGCCGAGATAAGCAGCCGCAAATGCTAGCTGGCTGGCATTCAATTTGCCCACAGATAGGCAGGACATGGACATGGACATGGACATGGGGGGCGTGGCACTGATAATTAGAAATGGAATTTGCGATTTCCTATTTGGTGGCCACATCGAATGGAAAATTCAAGTGTCTGAGCATAAAAACTAATCGCAGCAACAAAAGTTAAATGAGAGAGCAAAAAAAATGAAGGAGAAACAAAAAGAAAATAAAGAAGATCATCTATGCAACGATGCGTAACATGAGCCACGCCCACCACCTTTACTTTCTTGGTACAGCCCACCCAGGCAACGAGGCTCAGACTCAAATGCCTGGGCCTCCTTTCATGGCTAACATGGCGAAACCAAAGCGCATTATTGTTAGATGCTCCTCAAAAAATGGGGGAAAAAAAAACAAAAGACAGAGTCAAATGCCATAAAACTTTATGAAGCTGGCAAGGCAGCAGAAGTGGCAGATTTCGTAATGCCTTTGTGAAAGATTTCATGGTAATTTCACCGGGTTATAACAATTTACAAATTATGTAATCGAAATTTATTGCCTGCGCACCTTCAGGCCAACGAGCGAAGCAGCAGCATGAAGCGGGACAGGCCGACGGACGAACAGACGGACGGACGGACGGACAGCTGCCACGGCACGCTTTCAAGATTCTATAAAGAGCGGTTGGGTGGGCCACTACCACCAATAACACCAGCACCACCAACACCACTGCCACCACCATGTGCAGGTGGCTTTGATGGGCAGCTGATGCTCTGCCACATTTCACTTGGGGCACCAAATGCGAATTCTCAACTATCTCGCTGCTGCTGCGCGCCGAGATGCGTCCGAGATAAAGCGCTGTAGCTTCTGGGTAAAGACGGACTCAAGATCTAACTGGAGTACATATATATTTTACATTGCGGTAGGCAGCACTCATCGTAAGAGTTGCTTCAGCTGGAGCTGGAGTCTAGCTTTAACTATTTTTGCTGAAGTTTTTTGACAAAAGTTATTAAATTAGAATTTGAATGAAAAAGCGACGATCGATTCGGAGCGTCGAACAGTTCTTTCTCAAGCATCCATTTATAGTATTTGTCTAAAAATTTGATCTTCTATAAATATATGTAATCCTCTTAAATCTAAGTCAACAGCAGAATACACATTTCTCCCATCTATACATATGTATATACATAGATCACCTTGTCCAACCCGCTTCAGCAGGCAATGCTAGACCAGATTATCGTTTAGCTTCTTTGTTTTATTTTGCCACAACCAACAAAGCTTTTCGCTAGGTATCCAATAATATGTGTAAATTAACAGAGCAACTGCTGCAGCCTGGCTAACACTTAATGCCCGCTTGGCATGCACTCACCTTCAAGGTGCTGCCAGTTTAGCCTATTTCAGGCTAGATCTAGCTTATTTGAAAGAGTGCAGACTATGCAGACTAGAAAGAGCTATAGAATAGAAGAAGCTGTCGTCTATGTTATATGATAATTAATTAAAAATATTAATGTAGACATGGTATTTAGCATAGTACAATTTAGCACTATGAAACATATGTGAATATTCTTGAGCAGCGTAATGAGGTAATACATGTATAATCTGTTTGTGTGTCAGTCTACCCCACAGTCTGTCTCTCCATATGTCTGCAATCAGTCAAAGGAGAAGGAAAAACTACAGTAGATCGTTTAAGTGTTCTATATGTGTGCAGCAATACTCTCTCCTATTTATAGTTGAGTAAAACGAAGCTAGAATGACCGAAGCAACAGAGAGTCTTCTCATTGCTCACTTTAAGTTCGGCTGCAACGATCCCTAACTGGCGGAGGGCACAACAGTTGAGCGTGTGTGAGTGAAAGTTGCCCTATATAAGGGGCAGCAGCTTCAGCATTTCTTCAGTCGCTCAGGCTCGGTGGGGGTCAACAGTGCAGTGCAGTAAAGAGCAGTAAAGTGAAAAATAATATTCAGTGGTCGTTCAGCTAAGCTTTAAAGACTTGGAGGAAACACTCAGACGAAATTCTTAGAGAACATTTTTTGAAGTAATAAATTAGATGAAATGCTGAGAGGAAACACTTAAAAGGAAATACTTAAACAAAATACTAGCTAATACCACTAATATCTTTATTACTTTACTAATACATTTTATACTTTACTAATATATTTGATAATTTCTGCCAATTTTCTAGCCCGCTTTGCCAGCATTTTTTCGTACATTTTAGCTGGACTTAGCTTACATTTATCCACACTCTAGCTTATTCCGGAGCTCAACGGCTGGCAACACTGATGGCGTGCATGAAGCGTAACCCATTTGTTACGGCACTTTCCGAAACTCCAATAATAGAGCCATTAAATGCCAACTAGTTGGCCATCAAGTGCTTTAGTTTGGCATAAATCTGAAGCGCATGGCCAAAAAACTTTGTGCGGCCCACAAATCTGAGCGCGTCTCCTGAACCATGGCCAGCACTTAGCTGTAGCTGGAATTGCCAGGCGAAAGTGGAGTCGGAGTTGAAATTGGAGTTGCAATTGGAGTTGGAGTTAAAGTTGGAGTAGCTGTACCTTTAATTAACGCCCCGGTTTATTTGGCCAACAGGTGTACAAACTTTTGGCCACGCCCCAGCACGCAGCCAGAGCTCGTCTAGGCCCAACTTTCGTGCCGCATTTTTATTTAATTTAGAGCCGAGTCGCTGTCCTGGCAAGGACTTTCCCTGTTGTAATTTCCTAAAATTTACGAGTTTACTTGGGCGGCGGCGGCTGGTGGGCGGTCGGGGAGTGGCAGAGGGCAGGCTAGCGGCTGGTAGGGCTAAATAGTTGTTGCGCAGCTTCCGGATTTACGGCCTGGTTAGGGACTTTAGGCTTTTAGGCTGTTTTACTTCTGGCCTGGCTTTTGCTATGTGGTGGTGCTTACAGCCGCTTGTCAGCGCCTCGTTTTATTGGCCACGCCCACGCCCACACTCACTATCTGCCGCCCACTCACACTCGCGACTCACTCGCTGTAAATGAGCAACTTTCTGCTGCTCCACACACCTCCGACTCTGTGTGTGTGTGTGTGTGTGTGTGTGCTTTTTGGCAATTTCGCATGCAGTTTATGACTAGGCACAGGCAACAACAACAACAGCAACAACAACAAACTTACAACTTGTGCAGCTGTTGTAGCTGCCACATGCAGCATATTCGGAGCTAAGGCCACCTCATCATCTCCTCCCGCTTCTATAAAAGTTGATCAAAATTATAACTACGCCTGGACAAACATTTTGCCATTGAGGCAGGCTGGGCCCCGCCCCCGCCCCCTTTCGTCCGCATGTTTTTGGACAATTAGAGTGCGGCTCATTGCCCATAAAGTTATAGAATTCATGGGGCACGCTTTGCAGAACGCATTCCCAGTTTACTTATGGCCAACTTAGTTGGACCCACAGAAAGCATGAGAAAAAACTTTCGTTTCATTAGCTGGCATACGTAGGCTATACACATACATATCCATATATCCCGCCCTACCACAGGATATTCACTTTTATGGCTGCACATCTTGCGCTGGGTTTTAATAAATGCTGCACATAAACGAAACTAACGGAAGTTTTAACTGAATCAAGAACTGATTTCGTGCAAGGCAAGAGGCGAAGGGATGAAACTTTGAGGCATTGATATTGATACGAAAGGCGACTGGAATTGATCTAATTAATGAGATATCCAGAAGAACTTTTCTACAGAAATGTTAGCTGATTGTCCTTCTGACTCTTTTTAGAGGATGAATATACAGAAATTGCCTTCCACTTGGTATATTGGGGGATAAATCGTTATTAAAAGAGAATATATACTTATTTATCTCTCTCTGTCTTCCTCTCTCTCTCTCCTTTTTTTTGCTCTATCTATTTTACAATTCCCCTTCTCTCTCTCTATAATCACTAGATCAAACTCTTCTCGACTGTTCCAGAGACATAATATCCAAGCTAATAGCTCGCTCAACAACAGATTACTTGCTATCATTTCATTTTAGTTATTAAATCGAATCATCCACTCAAATTATAATAATTACATCTAAATTACGATCGTATGAAAAAGTGTGTCGCATTGTTCCGCATTTCGCGTAGTTGCAACAAAATGTTGCAGTTGAACAATTGTCGATGAGCTGCACAGCAATATCATTTAGTTATGTGAGATGAGTTAATAATTGTTGTTTTGGAATGGATTAGCTCAGGGAGGGCTGCACAGCGCCTGGTTGAGCCTACTTCCGTTTTGCATGCCGCAGATCCCAGAGACAGAAAGAGGGACAGAGGGAGAGAGAGGTGGGCAACGAGAAGCTGTGGCGAAAATTGTTCAATTGTTGCCACCTTGTGGTGCGCACGAGTGCACTTGCAACAGCCGCGCCCACTCAGGCCCGCCGTGCCACAAGCTTGTTAATCATAATTAAACACACGTAATGCGGGGCGCCAGCGTGGCAGGCGTGGCAGGTGCGCGGCATGCAAATGTGGCCGGCAAGCGGAGGCTGCAGCGGCCACATCAAATGTGCACCACATGCGCTGCACCGCCAAGGTGCAGTGAACCCCTGCGCCCAGCCCACAGCCGATATAAAAGCGCGCCAGCCGCCAGCCCGCCCAGGCAGTGCGCCAAGCGAACGTGCCGCAAACGGTGGCAAGACGGTATTAGCCGCAATCAATCAACGCTTCGAATATCACACAGACCAACCACATCAACAATGCGACAAGTGAGTGAATCATTCGTGAGTGTTTGGCAGTGAATCAAGTGAATGCGAATGCATCGCAATCAAGGCAAAGGATTATAAAGTGAAATACGACAAAGGATGCCACAGCTATTCGAGTGTTACATCAATTTGATTGACAAACAGTCAAGTCTAGATATATCGAATGTCAATCAAGAGCAGACTTATTATAGTGAATGATTCATGTGATCAGTCAACTGCAAGGCAGACTCCTTGACTTTATATGCATGACAGCACTACCATGATTGAAGAACTTCACCTTCTAGGTGCTCAATCAACCTTCAATCATTTGATAAATTTTACAACATTTCATATTTTGAAACGGTGTTTATATTACAGTTACTCTGAAGACTTTCAATAAGTCAACCTTCATACTTGTTAGTCATTCAATCACTTTGATTGATGACTTCAGGCATTAACTTTCAGCAAATAACTGTATTATTCGTATCCGCTAAGTCCTCTTAGCAGAGAGTCAATTCATACCACTTACTAATCTCTCTCTCTCTCTCTCCTTCTCTCACCCTCTCTCTCCCCCACTCTCCAGCTACCCGCGCATCCTCTAAAAGCAAGCAATCTGCTCACACTGCTGCTGCTGACGGCGACAATGTTGCAGGCGCGTCGCATCTCCAGCCGACGACTCGTTATCCACGTGCCCGTCAAGGTGAAGACGCATCATCACACCCACACGGTCTACAAGGTGTTGCGCGGCGCTGCAGGAGGCGGCGGCGCAGGGGGCGGCGGCATTAAGCAGACAGTCTACAAAGTCGTGGGCTTCTCTGGCGAAGGTGGCGGCGGGGGCGGGAGTGGTCACGGCGATATGGGGCGTGGCAGTCACAGTCACAGTCCAGGTCACAGCTACAGTCACAGTCACAGTCACGGCTTGGGCCTGGGCATGGGCATGGGCATGGGCGAGATCACGTATGAGGACAAGCATGGCTGTGAGAGCGGCAAGCTGATGCCATCGCATCGGGACATGTTATTCAATCATTATGCGCGCCACGACCAGGAGGAGGCGGAGGACGCCGACTATGCGGAGGAGCGGGACGAGTTCATTGATGTCAGGGATGCCTGGTTGTGAATAAAGTCGTGTGAAAAACGTTGCCGATTAATTATAAAATTCCAGCAGCCAAAGAAATTATACTCAACTATCAACTGAGAGGGAGAGAAAGAGAGAGGGAGAGAGATGGAGAGAGAAAGACAGAAGGTCGCTGCATTTGCATGCGGCTCAAAGTAATTACAAAATTGTTCAAGTCATGTAGACATCCTCGCCCATGTCCGACTGCTACTGCTCCTCCTCCTCCTCCTCCTTTTCCCCCTCCTCCTGTCTTCTGTCTGGCAATGGTAAAAATGCCAGCTATGAAGTTGTCTCGTAGTCGCCGTCAAAATCGAAACCCGATTCGGATTTGGCGTCTCTCGTTTCTATGCCTTTTGTTGTTTGCTTCTCGTCTCTTTCCGCATTGGGTTTGTTGTAATTCCAAATAGCAAGGGGTAATGGCTGGGTGGGGGGCGTATTAGAGCCAGGGGTAGACAGCACTACTGACTGCGGCCAGTCGCGCACTTGAACCTCAACTTTAAGCATTTGCATAGCTCTCGACTCTCGAGCCGGCAGAGAACGACCATGGCATATTTCAGAGGACAATTAAAAGTAACAAAATGGATGTAAACACAACTGGCAAGACGGCGAGGCAGACCATAAGATATAATAGCAGTTAGGAGTAGGTAGACAATAAGAAACTACGGTTCGGAAAACTATTAGGAAATACTATAGGGATAAACAATTATACCAGGGCGAGTAGTACTAAAAAAATACAAAAGCTGATCAGAAAATCGTTTCGGAGTAAATTTCGGAGTAATATTCATTCGGAGTATTTTTCGGAATACTTTTTCGGAAGTCTATATCACTCTATATATAATAAAGTACAATTCGGAATATGTTTCGGAGTAAGCAACTTAAGTTACGCAATGTAGACTTATTATAATTAGGAGTATTATAAGTACTACTTGAGAATTTATTAGACACGAAAAAAGAATATACTTTTAGCTATAATATATATATAACTGTAAGTAAATTCTAAAACCCAAGCAATTCTTATCAATAATACATCAAGTGGAATCACGTTGATTGAGGCGCACATTTGAATAAAGAAACCGGTCTCGATTTCAATATACGAGCTAATCCTAGTGATTATCCAACATCAATTGTCTGGCGAGCTGACGTTTCGGCTACTGTGCGCAGCTGCTGTATTATGCATGGCCATTAGGCCCGCCGGACCTGACCCGTAATCCATTTAAAGTGTCAGCAGTCAGCAGGATGGTGCGGGTCCTCGGATTTGAAGTGCAGCGGCCCAAGCTGTGCCTGACATAAGTTGGATTGATCACGGCGAGTCGCGGAGACAGGTGCAGAATAATTTGCATTTAATTGAAGGCGACAGGGTGTCCGAGAGAGACAGAGAGAGAGATAGCAATACGAGTGTTCGGGGTGAGCATGATGAATGCGTCTGCCTGGCCAGCAAGAGGTGCGCACCACGGGTGGGCCTGGCGCCAGTTTTGCTTTCAATTGATATAAATGTGGCCATTCAAAGGCATTTAGCCTATCCCACAGGCCAACAATCTTGCCAAGACCGGCCGGAACAGACCGGCGCTAATCCACTTTGTGGCACGTGGAAAGACTCGAGACAGCGGCGAGACGCGCTGCTCCTGCTGATGAGTTAAGCATCGGGGTTTTTGTTCCTCAATGCGCACAGTTATTAACATTTTTAAGCCTTTGTGCACACACACACACAAAGAGACAGAGAGGGAGAGAGAGAGACATACATACACACACACACACACACATTCTTGCAGACAACAAAGCGCACAACAATTTGACCAAATGCTGAGCTTAGAGCATGAGTGGCAGAGAGAGAACGAGAGGGGGAGGAAGGGAGAACAAATAGCTGCATCGAAATCAGGCATAGCTGACTGCATAATGCCCGCTCGGGACTCATTCCGTAGTTAGTTATATAATCTCTACACTCGCATAAGCAAACCCTAAACACCCTTATTCGCTTTGTGAACGAGCATGAATTGAATTCCATTCACTGGCCATATAGAATCATCTCTTGAGCTGCTAAGCCCCAATTTGTATGCCAGTTGTTGGCCTCGAACTGTTTTCAGGAGTCGCCATCAAAAGTTTCCTGGCCTGCGGTCCAAAACAAATCTATTGATTTTGCTCAAATGGCTTTTGTGCTCAGCTCCGGCCCGGTCCGGTCCAAGCAAATATGCGACGGAAACTGGCACAATTTCAATTGACTACTCAAAATTGTTTTTACCTGCTGGACAGGTGAACAGGTGGAGCGGAGGGAAGCACTTCAAATAGTTATACTGATTTAGAGAAACTTGCGGAGCAACTTGCAATCTGCTTGGGCAAAGTTTATTACACAAAATGCTGAAAAACATTTCAAATGTGGCTACTGGCGTTTTGCAACACTGCCAATCACAAAGGTAAAAAAGAAAGCTATATTAATTTCACTAACAGCTTACATTAAAAGTTAACGTTTTGCCTTGACTCTATATTGAAGCTATAAATTGGCTTTACAGCACTAAAATATAACTATCTTTGATATTGTTCAACACTATTATTAGTATTATAGAAACTAGGCCAGCTAGTAGTTTTGCTGGCAAGCAAATTTGATTTAGCTCCTTCAGATAATAATAAATATACGATTACTTATAAAACTTTCCAGCACTAAATATTACTATTATTTATTTTATTCTATGTGTTTTACTCATACTATGGAAATTTTTAGCTATTGATCCTAGGCAAATCTGTCGATCAATGACCAATTGCATTGATATATGGTAATAATATGGCAATATCTTAAACTTTATCCAACACTCAAGTTATTTCTGACCTTATACAACACATCAGAATTGACCACCGTATTCAGTATTGCTTTATATACTTAGTCAAAAAAATCCTCTCAGAGTATCACTCAAAGCTTTCAGATTTCCCTTTCAAACATTTCACAACACTGGCTGTGCTCTTAAAGTGCTAGCAGCGCATTTCAAATTCGTTGAATTTGAATCTCTGGCTCGTTACATGTAGCATTTGCGTAATTGAATTGGACACCGAAACGCCGTGCAGTTGGGCAGCTTGTTTACCCTTTGTCTAGCCCTTTGATATTTCATTTTGTGCTGCCTCAGTGCCACAAATTGTATGGCTGGCTGTTTGCTTAATTGGTTTCATTAGGGCTCCATGGAGCACTTGCCCACTTACCGTCGTCCTTTCGCTTGCCGGCGCGTAAAATGCCAAAAAAGCGACGGTCCCGGTGCTCCGGACGTCTGCCAACGTTCAGTGCTGCAAAACACAACAAAATCCGGAAATGTATAGGCTTTCTATTTGTGTAAAATGTAAGCAGAGCTTTAAGATGCGAGTTGAATGTAAAAGTTTTTGAAAGGTTGCCAGCCACTTAGAGCTACAGTTACACGTGTCGCCGCAGCAGCAACAGCAACTCCCAGCTCCCAGTTCCCAGTTCCCAGTGGCCCGGACCCGGCATAATTTAGCCGCAAAGTGACAACCAAATAAACTGAGAGGAAGAAAAAAGGTAAACTTTGCACGGACAGCTGCTGGTCAGGTGCCAAGTGCGGAATTTGTCTATGGCACTAATTTTAACGCCATTAATTTGCCCAAGCCAAAGGCCAGCAGCAGAGCGACTGAGTGAGAGAGAGAGAGCGGGAGGGTGTAGAGAGAGAAAGAGAGCATTTTAAATTAAATGGACACAACTTTTATTGAATTGAGTGTATCCAAGAGGCTGCTTCTCCGGCCGGATCGAGCAGCAGCCGGAATTGTGACCAAGCGTCATGTGGCGAGAGCTGAGCCAAATGGACAGCCGGAAACGGAAGCGCATTACTCAGCTCACTCTCTCTCTCTCTCTCTCTCTCTCTATGTCTGTTGAGCAGTTGTTGCACAGCACTTTTACACACGCAACTGATTGGCAGTGGGGTTACGTGGAGGAGGAGGAGTGGCACAGCACCCACAGCTTGTCGTGGCGCACCACCAATCAAAGGGAACACGCTCTGTCAAACAAGAGAGAGAGAGAGAGAGAGAGAGAGAGCATCGGAAAAGTTGTGGCAAAGTTTTTGATTTCATGATATATTTATGGGCTGCTTCCGTCTCTCCGATTTGGCTCCTTTGGGCAATAAAGTTTCTGCTTAAAAAGTCCTGCAAGGCGAGGCGAGGCAATGACAGGCAAGGCTGCGGCTTACGGAGTTTCCTCACTCGCTGCTTTAAAGAGTGAATAACAACATTGCGTATACGTGCCGTTGTCCAGCACAATATTTAAATGATGTCGCCGATAATTATGATTAACTGCCGCAGCCGCTGGCTCTGCTGATGACAATCCTGATGCTGATGCGCTGTGGCCTGACGCTTGTTTAGTGGTTCATGTGGTTCGTGGTTCGGCAGAGCGCAGCCACATGGCTGCTGCGGCTGGCATTGTTTAGCCTGATTCCTGGGTTAAAGGGTTAAACAGTTTGTGTTTGCAGTGCAACTGAAATGGCTGATATATAGGGAAATGCATCAGAGGGAAACTACAGTTAAATATATCAGCTTAAACTCAATACAAACTGCGAATGGTATTGAAAATTTTGAGTCATATTTTCGCAATTTAAAGCCTATTCATACTATCTTAATTATGCCAAACAAGCAAGTAATCAGATAAGCATACCCACACACACACACACATATGTACGTGCACTCAACAATAAGCCAACTGTCGTGCAGGTAGCCGTTGCCGTTGCCGTGGCATTTGGAACTGGAATTGTGTGTCAGGCTAATGGAAAAATCGCTTGGGCATAAAATCAATTAAATATTAAATAAACGCTATCAGCAAATAGCAATTTCCCCCTCTCTCTCTCTTTGTCTATACCCATCTCTCGCATTTCCGCCATTTGCAAGTGAAATGCAAACAGTGAAGCGCTCCTGCTCCGGCTCCGGCTCCCGCTCCGGCTCCTGCTCTGTCCAACTTTATGAGCGTAATCCTTGCAATTATGAGCCAGGGCAAACATTATCTCAATATTGCATGAGAAGAGCCTGGAAACGAACCAATAAGCAATGCGGAGCCCACGAAACGGACACAGATAGCTGAAAGCTCTTACACACACACACTAACACAAAGGCCTTTGATAAACCTCTACGTGCTGCTGCATGTTGCATGAAAATTCATATATGAATGAATGAATTTTGAGCAGGTGCACAGGAGCAGCTGCATTAGTCTCACTCTGTATGTGTGTGTGTGGGTGTGCATGTATGTGAGGGTGTGCAAGGTTGAATGGTTAGCAAAAAGACTAATTATGTATTCATTAAAATGGCAAATGCCAACAGGCACATTCAACCCCATGAGATAACATAAAAAATAAATACAAATAAAGAGAACGAAAAGCTCGCAGCTGCAGGCAGGAGGCGAAATACACAATATTTTGATAGGACTCTGCATAATGCACAGCAGCTTGTGCAGTCAGAGTTTATATTACATATATATATATATTTATATATATATATATATATACATGGGCATATTAGTTTTGAGGCTTTGATAACTCAATTATATTATATGTTATAATCTAGTCTAGTCCCTCTGCAGTTATTCTGCCTCACCCCCGACCACTCAAGTCTTAGACCACCTATCTACTCAGATTCTATCTTGTCTCCCTCTGCTATATCGCTCTACACTTTCAACAAATTGAACGAGTTGTCCCATCCATATCCACTAATGAGAGATGATGTTTATGATAATGATGCGATGATCATCTTAATACAGGCAAGCTGTTAGCATTCAGACTCTGCCTTTGTGCGGAGCGCACGACGCTTATCTTCCAATATATCTGTATATTACTCCAATGGGCTCTTATGAATATTATAACATAAAATTATCAAGTTAGGCATTTACTAATTTAATCAATTATGCCTGGTATTCGTTCTTCTACCCATTTCATAAAATATCTTTCAATTCAGAATTGATCTTTAAATTCTTATCGCAACCCATTGAAAGTCATATATTGTGAGTAGAATGTTTTTACTGAAGTGCGCGACTTAAAATTAACTTATATTACTAATACAAAGAGGGGCGATTCATTATAGTTGTTGTTGTTGTTGTGGTTGTTGTTGTTGTTGTTGTTGTTGATGTTGTTGTTGTTGAGCTCTTAGTTCTTTCAGGTCATCTTATTTACTTCGAAAAGGCGCCAAAGATGGATTTGAAGAAGCGATAGATTGGCTTGGGTATATCCACGGCAAAGAACACGGAGCTATCCTCGCTTTGGGCAGGTGATTGGGAACGCTGTTGGAGCGACGGATGCACCAGATGCAGGCTTTTATAGATCTCGTTGATCTGATTGGGGATGTTATCGTTGTTATTGTTATTGTTGCCGCCGTTGGCAGGATAAACCGGCTGCAGCAGCAGCTGAGTGTTGCCGAATGGCTCATTGACTCTGAAATCAGATTCCTCAAAGTTACCCACATTTTCATCCGCTGCTGGTCTTGGATTGCCGCCGGTTTTGGGTGTTTTATAAATGTAGATGTGGCCAATCAGCTGAAGCTCCTTCGGCTGTTGTTGCTGTTGGGCGCCCTGGCCCTGACCTTGGCTTTGACCCTGGGCCTGACCCACGGGTACACGTTCATTATTTACAATAAAGTCTGGGGCGTCGTAGCTAGAATAATCTTGCGGATAGTAGGGAATGAAGAGAGGTACATCGTTGTTGCTGCTGCTGTTTTCTGCCTCATCGGACTTCCAGAAGGGTATTGGTCTCAGAGGGAAGGGGAAGTAGCCGGGCTTAGCATGAGTGTGAACCGTCACATTGCCAGGAACAACTCCTATGGGATAACCACCAAATTTGTTGTGGTATCCGTAGTATATGGTCTGGTTGGTGTTGTTGGGCAGGACGTAGTAGTAGCCTTTGTGGCCGCCGAAGTTAGGTTGGAATGGTACGAAAGGCGGCTTTACATAGGGCTGCTGTACGAACGTACCATTGAATCCCGGATTGACGACATAATACGCCTGAGGGTATCTCACGCCGAAGAACCCGCGCGGCTCAGCTTGCACCTGATCTACAACTTGGTTGTCGCTGCCCTCCACTTTGCCTACGACTTTTTCAGCATTTTCCGCGGAAGGTTTAGCGATTTTGTGTGCCTCAGATCGCACGGGAATCTCACTTTCCACAACTGGCGCTGCTTGCGCCTGGACTTTACTGGGAACAAAGCTGACTACGTTAGCTCCAATCGATATATTGGGAATCTTCGGCTCTGGAGCGACTCTATTGATTTCCTCTGGCTTAGACTGCTCTGGCTCCACGGGATTCTCAGCCACCTGGGGGATCGCATTACCTTGCACTACCGACGGCTCAGGATTCGAGGCAATCTGAGGGACTACATTGACTGGCGCTTCGACTGACTGTGGCTGGGATTGCACAGGGCCAGCTGCCACCGGGGGAACAGCAAATGCCTCCTGAGCTATGGGTTGTTGGGCTTGTTCGATGGCTGGCTGCACAGGAGAGATCACACTCGGCAGTTCTGCTTTGGGCTCCACAGACTGAACAGGAGAGATCACATTGGGAACCTCTACCTTAGGTTGCGACGATTGCTCAGGGTTTCCAGCCACCGGTGAATCCTCCGTAGCCTGTGCTTCATTGGGGGCCTGGATATGAATAGGCTTCCTTGCCCCTTGGGGTAACTCAACCTTAGGCCGTGACTTTTGGACAGTATTCTTCGTATTCGGCACTTCGGCTTTGCGGATAGTGCTTGCCTGAGCAGTGAGCACCACAAGCAGGAGAGCAACAAGTCGCAGAGTATTCTTTAAATTGGGAATACAACAGTTTAGAGCACTCGCTGACAATTGAAGGTCCTCAACTTACCATCTTGAGAGCTTCAAATGAACTGTGTCTCAATCGCTGTCTACGTCGACTATTTATACCCAGCCAGGACAACGAATTGCTGCTTATCTCAACGAAACATTCCAAAGCCATTAGATCAGGGCTCGGTCTAGAGCCACTATCTATCCCAAGGCACTTAGCTGCCTTTCCTATCAATAGGTTTTCCGCTCTTCCGTTTCAGCATCTTCCCAAATTCCTCTGTCTTTGTTTTTGTAGATACTTAAAAACGGGCGTCAATGGCAGTAATATCGGAAAAAATGAAATTGCACTTAAGTTCTATCGTGCGAGAGCCTTTTCGAATTGCTGTTGCCATTGTTGCTGTTGCTGTTGCTGTTGCTGCTGTTGTTGTTGCTGCTGCATTTTACGTGCAACATGAAAATGCCATTGTTTTGTAGCGCAGCAAAACGGAAATCTATGAATCGCTTTTGTATGTTTTTCCTACCCAACGACCAAAAACAACAACAACAAATGGAAAGCAGAGCCGTGCCAAGTGCAAAAGACTGTCAACTGCGTAGAATGATGTGTGAGTGAGCAGGAGAAGGAGGAGGACGAGGAGGAGGCGACGGGTGCAGTAGGGGCTAACTGGGGCCAGAGGGTGGTGCTGGGTTGGGTGTAGCCCATATACACCCGCATCAAAAAAAAAAAATGTAGAGAACGTGCATCAGCTACATATTCATGGCAAAGCCTTGGCTCTCTTGAGAGCTTTATCTGCCGCAGGTGTGTTGAGAGCACAGCAGCTGGTCATTGACATGGTAATGGAGCAGTGGCGGCAGATAGAGAGAGAGAGGAGAGAGAGAGGAGAAAGAGAGAGGGGACGGTAGCTATCAAAACTCCAGCTGGGCTCAGTAATTGTATTGCCTGATGTATTGTGGCATTTGTGCCCAAGTCTCTATTGATTGAAGTTTGCCCAAATTGTGGGTTTTGCGATTGACAGAATTCCGAATGAAATTTCCAATTCGAATTGCTAAAAAAAAACGAGTGAGCATTGCTGAGGTATGTAAAGCATTAAATATAAACAGTTTAAGACTTGAGGAATTTAATACAGGGCTGGTATATCTAAAGATCCCAGGCATATATCTAGGAACTCTTAACTATCAGCTTGTTTTTCTTTCTAATTTCAAACGATTTCTAGTCTATAATCTTCTTCAAATCTCGAACGATTTCTCTCCCGCATTAGTTTCCTATGCTTTAAATGCATTTTGTAGAGATTTTTTAACTCAAGTTCTCTTTAACCTAAAAGCTGTTCTATATAGGGTAATGACAACTGAAAATTAATCAGCTCGCAATTGAAAATTCCAAATGCTAACACACTTCGAGTCAAGGCAAGGCTGGTACTAAAAAGTAAAGGAGCTGAAATTCAGGCATTGGCAGAGAGGCCAACCGAAGCGAAGCGAAGCGAAATAGCACCCAAAGTCCAAACTGCCAACTGGCAGCTGCCAGGGAACGAGAATGTTTTGCGCAGCGGCAGATGAGCTGTTGAAATTGCAAGTGCGGCACTTGCTCAATTTTTCATGAACCTCCCACAAGTCAAGTGGGAGCGCTCCAAGCTCCAAGCAGAGCGACGACTCAATACACTGCGAAAATCAACTCAAGCATGTAAACTGCAGCTGGAGCTAAATAATTGAAGATGTAGCTGATGGGACACACAGCGGCTGGCAGTGTGTGGTTGAAGAGTTTTGCCCGAGTCGCAGCAACCCACACAAGGCAGCAAATGGAGCCACGCGAAATCTGTGAAAAGGTGAAATTAGCAGCCAACATCCGCATCGGCACAGGCATCAGCATCGTCGTGGCCAGACAATAAGGCGAGCTGCGGCCCTTGACTCGAGCCAGTTGAAGCAGCCAGCGCACTGCGATGTATGTAAATAAATGGCCAAGAGAAACGACAGCCAAAGCCAGAGCCAGAGCCAGGCCAGAGCCAAAGCCAATGCTAAAGCAAAAGCCCAAGGCCAAGGCAGAGCGCAGGAGCAGTCGAAGCAGCCGGCACAGCCATACAGCCTATGGAACCAACAGATAAGACCCAGACCCAGGCCCAGACTCCAACTCAAACTCAAACACAGGCTACGTAGCACGGCAGTCGCTGCTCAGCGGAGTTCTTCTGCTCTTGATGCTCTGCGTTCTTTATTTTTATATATGTATACCCTGTACTCAGTGAAAAGGGAAGTTTACATTTTTGGTGAGCATCTGAGTTTGCCAAAATCAGCTAGAGTTCAATTCAGACTTGTATAGTATATATAGTATACTAATTTATAGAAATCGATAAATGAAAATGGAGAAACAGAAACATATAGAAACTGCTATAATCAGATAAAGACCCAAAATTAATAAATATAGATTCGTAGCCCAGTTTCTTAGAGTGGCATAAGACACAGAGTTTTCAAAAATTTGAATTTGCTGAATGATATGAGTTTTATCGATAGTTTTTCAGAGTGACCAAAATCGAAAAAATATTTCAAAATCGAAACCGCCACTGCTAGTACTTTTTAAAGAGCTCTCTACAGGGTATCTAGCAGCCGTTCACTTGCCCTCCAAATAAATTCCTTTTTCACTTTTTTTGAAGCCTTACTTTTTCATTTTGGGTGTGAGCGCGCGTTGCGATAAGATCAATGTGTGAGGAGCCTCGACCCAGACAGACAGACAGCCGGACAGACGGACGGACAGATGGCCGGACAGACGGACTGTGGCATCTGCAGCAGGTGTTTTGCTTTTCTGCAGGCGGCTGCAACACAATATGGGTAACGAGCTGGCCCCCAAAACGGGGCAACTTTATCGGCGCATAATTCACACGGCTGCCTGTGGCCAGGCAGATGTCCATGGACCGATGATGGCGATGGCGATGGCGATGCTGATGACGATGACGATGACGCTGGCCAGGTCTCGGTGGCTTGTGAATGTGGCTGGCAGCATTTTGATTGACTCAAAGTGTGGCTAGCCGTGAGCTGTGAGCCGCTCGTGTGAATATATGAAAAAGAGCCAAATGGCAAACAAACAAACAAACACAAACACACACACACACACACACCTACACTGACACATGCACAGAAAATAGCTGGCCAAATAGCTGCAGGAGGTGAAACATAAAGCACAGCTCTGGCTTAGCCATGAGCCAGACGTTCATGGAGCAGCAGCAGCAGGAGCAGTGGGTGCAGGAGAAGCAGCATCACATCCGCATTCAGCACGTGCAGCACGTTGCCATCTAGTTCCGCTATGTCTCCTCCATGCCCTCTGCTCTCCCACACAATTCCAGAACGCTTAGAATTCAAAACATTTCAGACAAATTGGCGTCGCTTTCAGCTCAACGTGTGACAAAATGCAATGTAAACAAAGTGAGAGGGAGACCAACAGAAAAAGAGAGAGAGAGAGATCGAGAGAGATAACTGCAACAGCCCCTACATCTAACCCACTGAGCATTGTCCAGTTGCAGCAGCAGCAGCAGCAGCAGCAAACACAAAGTGCCCTTCATTAATTTATGCCAAGCCGTTGCTCAGACGACGTTGACGACGTCATTTGAGTGCCGCCTCCTGCTCCGCATGCTCCTGCTGCTCGGGGCACCCGGCTGTAGGTGACGCTTTATATGCAATAAATAAGATGCTGGCACAGGCACAGTCACAGAGTCAGGCTCAGGCTCTGGTCCAGTCACCATATCTGAATAGAAGCCCAAGCGAGATTCAGCATCAGCAGGAGCAGAGGCAGCAGCAGCAGGTTGACTGCTGTGGGAAAAATGTTAACGAGCCAAGTAGCCTCATAAGGAAGTGAAGAGAGCAAGTGGGACAGCTGAAGAAACAGAAGCAGACAAGACTAGAGAGGGGCGGGCCAAAAGGTAGGTCACACATCGCATGCCACCGTGGGCCAAATTGCACATTAATTAGACTAAATGCGAGTCTCTGTCGAGGCCAAAATGCAAATTGAAATTGCAAATGAAAAAGATTATGATGAAAATTAAAAAAGATTAGCAAATGATATCATATATGGGCAATAGGCAGGCAAGATATAGCAACTAAATGGAACTGAATTTGTTATCCAAGATCAATTTATTTCAGATATATGGAGATTTACAGAAGTATAACAGAGATATAACAGAGAATATACATTTTATTGTTTATGATATAGAAAGAACGAATAATAATATTATTATTTAGTCTAATACCTAGTTGGAATGGTGTCAGCTTCAGGGAAATTTCATGTCTATATGCAATTAGAGCGTTCGCTCGACAAGAACTTCTAGCATAACAAATTGATGGCAACTACTTGTAAATCACTTTTTCATGCAAGAGCCCACACACTTCTCAGATATGATACAGCACTATGGGCGCTATGAGAACCTATTTAAACTGTTGTAACTGTTTGTAAACACTTGACATATCTTGGCGGCAATTAAACACTCGCTTGCCACAGTACACAATGCGACGCGGGACAATGGGGCATATGCGAAGAGTAGAGAGTAGAAGGAGGAGGTGGAGGAGGGGGAGGGGCAACTGTGTCTATGACACAGTCCCCAACCCTATTTGACAGTGGCAGCCACTTGGCGAGCGGCGCCACGGCAAGATTCTGTGCGCCATTCATGAGGCAAGCATGTGACCCATTTTTTCGACCAGTGCACCTCAGTTCCGCCCGGCAGCTCCACTTGGCTTGTGTCTCTCGCGTCTCTTGGCTGTTGTTGTTTGCTTAAATGTTTGCCTATATATGGTCGGGCGACAGCTATATAAATATGTGAGCAGCTTTTCACACCTCACTGCATTCGCTTCCTCTTCACCATTGGCGTTGCCAGACAGCGACGAAAATTCCACCTGGACGGGCTTCAGAAATTTGATTGCTCGAGTTTTGAGCTTTAACAAAGCAAAACGAGAGAAAAACAAAAAAGAAATGCAATAAAATTTTTCAATAACTTTGCGACTTACAGCAAATTTTTTCATACAGCAAATTGTGTGTGGGCCATTTTCAATTAAGCGAAATTAAAAATTTATTACGAGCGGCGGCCAAAGGAAAACAAAGGCAAGCGAAAAGCCCACAAAACGAAAGCAAATAGAGGACTTCATACAAAAAGCGAGAGATGTTTATGTTTTCATTAATAAAAAAGAAGTCGGATTGATGCAGTCGAGCGTCACCGACTCCAGAATACTCGCTCATGGGCGAGCTTTGTTTTGGGAAGAGGTCAAGAGAAATAGAGCATAGAGGTAGAAATAGTTCCATTACGATTCGCCACGCCTCCAAGTAGATTAAAGATATGATTTTAGGTAATTCATATAAAAAATATCTTTTAAGATACACTCTCTCTGCCACGCCCCTTATAATCATCGAAATCTATATATATTTTTGATCTAAATATGATCGAGATCTCCAGTCTTTAATTCGGATAAACAGTAAATCTGGCATTGCACCAAACTAATCAACTGTCTTTACTTCGTGAGCGAGTATTAATATTCTATAAAAGGAAAAGTAAAACAGGAGCTGGTATAAGAGCAAGTGCGTCGGTGGATGATTGAGCTGCTGCTACTCCTGCTGCTGCTGCTACTGCTCCTGCTGGCGTTGCTGCAAGGGAAAGAGACTGAAGCAGCAGCGGCAAGTGAATGAAACAGTTGTAAAGGGGGTTAATGGGAGGAGTACGGTTAGAGATATATGTGCGTATGTATGCACATTTAATATATATTTCTTTTCCCCTTTTTATTTGCCATTGAAGTTTTAATCATTGAAATGACATTGACAGACGGACAGACAGACAGAAGCGGAAGCCTAGGAGTCGAGTGCTTTTTATTGGGGCAGCAATATTTATGGCGCTTAAGTGATTATTGAATTTAATATTTGCTTTGCTCGAATTGCACAACTTTGCCCATTACGAAAGTTATTAATGATGAGAAAAGCGATATGAATAATGATGAAAAAGCAGAGGGAATAGAAGAAAAAGCGAGTAAATGCAGCACTTGAAAATAAATGTAAAATTGAATAAACGGAAGTGGGATAAAATAGGAAAAATCTATTTGTTGAATGTGCCAAGTGAATAATTTTCTATGAGATGGAATGGAATTGATCTGCATAAAAGAGAGGGGGGTACCTCATACCCCTCGTATAGTATATATGAGTATATGATCATTTCTGTGAATTTAGTTAACAAACTCTGCATAACAATCGAAACCGAATGCAGCTCTCTCTCTGTTAGCCAATTTCACTTATGAATTTGTGGCTTAAAAAGCCCAACAACTTGGCCCGCAAATCAATGATCATCATTTATGAAATGAAGTTTGTTGCCAGTTCATAATTTGCCACTAAAAGTCTAAAAGGGTTTTGCAGCTAAGACGAAAAAGTTTCTTGGCCAAAATGAGTGTTTAATTGACAAACCTTTTTAACGAGTCCAAACAGCTGCTCACTCTGCTTCTCCCTCTCTCTCTCTCTCGCTCACTCAGTGTCTGTCTCTTTCTCTGTCTGTGGATTACTTTTTCTCTTAAAGTTGATGTTGTAATTCAATTAGCATAACGAACATTTATGTAGCTCCAGTTACTTGTTTAAGTTTTGCTCAATTAAAACTTTTGACAATGTGCCGCACACAAACACACACAAAAACACACACAGGCTCACACACTAGCGCATGTACACACGAACACACAGCTCATATGCAGATTTGATTTTATTTTTTGTTGCTGTTGGCCCAACTTGCCATAAATTTGAATTAATTTGATTTACTTCTGTGTGCACACACACAACCACACACACACACACACACACACACTTACACACACAAATAAACACACTCAACTTTTTACTTCATAAATTTTGCAAGTACATTTCAAGTAAATACAATTTTCCGTCGCACTAATAACACACTTCCGTTAGCTGCGGCAGCAATGGCGGCGGCAGTCGACTTCCGCTTACACCTACACACACGCACACACATGCACATATATATAAATACGTGCACATTCACTTACAGCTTAGGCCGGCTAAAATACGTTGACAACAGCCGATTTACGTTTTTACAACTTTTTTATTTGATTTGATTTCGTTTTCTTTTATTTTTATTTTGTTTTTTTTTTTTTTTTTTTTATATCTTTTCTTTTGTAGGCTTTTCGCCCTCTTATTTATTTGCCGTATTGTTAAACAAAAAGTCGCAGTTCAACGTACGCTTAGGCACAGGGCACGCAGCCAGGGCACTGGGCAGAGATCAGCCGGCAATGGGGCTCAGATTTACGTGATTGTGAAATGTATCTTTGAGATACGCGCGCGCGCTCCGTCGCTCCGACGGCATGTACCAAGCGCCAGCGACAACAAACGCAGACTGCGGCGCTGTGTGTGCGAAAAAAAGCAGCAAATAAACGAAACTTTTTTGCAAACTGTTGAAAAATCGCACGGGAAAATGTTGTGAAAACAAGGCAGCAAGCAACACGAAGCCGGCAACACACGAAGCTGCGGGCGAAGCAACAGCCGAAGCTGTCGAAGCTGCCGAGCAGCAACAGCAGCAGCAACAAGAACAACAAGCAGCAAGCCAACATCAGCAACAGCAACAACAGCAACAACAACAACAACTAGTCAAGTGTATCGGCAGCAAGCCGAAGCATCCAAATGTTGCCAATGCGGAATGTTGCTGCATGCCAGAAACGTGCGCATGAGAAAATGTTGCTGAGCATCTTGTTGCGGTTGTTCTCGCTTTTTGTTGCCAAGCTTGCTGTTGCCTTAGCTTTGCTTTTTTGTTTAGGCGGGAAAATATGTGTGCCGTTGTGTGTTGTTGCTGCTGTTGTTGTTCTTACTGTTGTATGGAGCGTGTAGCTGCTGCCCTGCCCCGCCTGTTGCAGTGATTATTTTGTCAATTGCAGTGACACAAAGGCATCTATCTAACTTTTGTATCTGTGCAGCTATCTCTATCCGTATATCTCTATATCTGTATCTATGGGCACTAATGCGCGCCGCAACGATTATTCCGCTGTTGTCTTTGTGGCATCAATCGAGAGGGGGAGGGGAGGAGGGGAGTAGGGGCTGGGGCAAAGTGGTTGGGGGCAATTGCAACAGTTGCAACAAAGCGAGCCTAAGTAGTTGCCTTTGCCTTTGCCTTTGCCTTTGAGTCTCGTTGCAATTGCAACTCTTTGAACTGCATTTCCCAGCCCCTTCCCCTCACCCTTCTATTTCCTCGACCCCCCCGCCCTCTACGAACCACTCAATGGGAAATTGATATTAACATTTGGTTAAAAGCTTTCGCATTGTTTAATTATTTATAATTTGCACATAAACTGATTAGCCAATAAGCCGCTTGTGTGTATTATGCAAATGTGATTTTCCACTCCATAAAATGCCAAAGTGAAAAACTATTCAACTGAAAATGCGAAGACGGGAAAATGGGAAATTCGGAAAATGGGCAAATTGCCATAATTCCATGCGTACTAAAATGTGTAAATTAAATTTTCATAAAATACACGCATATTTCATTAAAGCAATTACACATGCACACACACACACACGCATAACCACAAATTGAAATGCATTTAAATAAAATATTTGAGCCAAAAAAACATCAATAAACTGCGGCTGCTTCGACTCAAACCAACTGCCAAACAGCTTTTGTTGTTGTTTCTCTTCTCGTTAATGTTATTCAGCATTTTCATTAGCTTTTCCTCTAGCAAAAAGGAAAGAATTTGATATAGGCTTAAAGACTTAAAGTTTTAGTATAGAATCTTAGGGCAAAAAGAGCCTGAAACTAAAGTTAAGTCATATACAAATAATCAGAGCTTGAAGCTTAAGCTGCAGCTTTCATTTGACTTAAAGCTGTACTTGGAACTGCAACTTTTAACTATGCTTTAAGCTTGCCTTAAGATAAAAGCTTGAGTTTAAGGTAATTCCCAAATACGCCCATTAATAACTATAAATACTAATAATAATCATAAATTTTCTATAAATTATTCTCATTTATATTCAATTTATATATATGTATATATCTTCAAAGGCTTCTCTTTATTTTAGGCTTTTCTTCTAGCTCTAGCATAAAGCTCGATCCCCGCAATATACGACTGTTCTAAGCCCCCTTCAACTTCCGGCTTTAAAAATATTTTCTAAATACAAACTAAATTGTGGAAATTAATTTCAATTGCCTTCAAACTGGACCCGCAGCTGCTGCCAGGGCAGACGAGACAAACGAGGCAGCAGCAGCCATCGAAATGCTGGTAATTAAGCGCTTTAGAGACGGAGAAAAAAAATCAGCAAAGGAGAGAGAAAAAAGCCCAAATTGAAGCAAATTTCGCAAGAAATTAAAATGGAATTTAAAAAAAAAACTGAATGAAATGCCGAGCAGCGAGTGGGCGTGGCATAACGTAAACAAGTGTCGTTAGCAGCAGCCACAAGCGGAAGCAGAAGCTGAAGCAGAAGCAGAGGAAACCTGTAGGAGGATAAAAGTGGAGCTTGCTCCAAGCTGAATGCGACTAAAAAGCAAACATCCGTTATTATTCGGGCAGCCTCTAAGAAGCAACAATGACACTAGCTGAAAGCGCAGTTTAGTTAGATATGAAAAGCAGAAGAGGAAGCTGTATAAGTTAAGTTTAAGGGCCACTTAAGTTCGATGGGAAGTGGAAGAAGCTAGTTCAGTGGCAGCAGTTTAGTTTAGGCAATTATTCACTGAGATTGATGTAAGCTTAAAGTTGAAGCTTGGGTGTTATAAAGCTTTAAAATTCTATTGAGATTCTCAGTATTCTTGGTTAGTAAAGCTGTAAACTTATGTTGAGATTCTCAGGGAGTGTGAAATTATTTTAAAAGCTTTAATTTGTTTACTAACAAACTTTCAAGAAAAAAAAAACTAACTTTATTAAGTAGACTTAAGTGTTTAAGTTAAACTACAAATATGTAGGTTTGAATATCTTAAAATAGATCTCATATGTATTTATACTCAAGCTTTTAGTGAGCTGTATTTTAAGCTTTCAATCAGTTTCATGCATGAAATACCTCGTAGACCTTAGGGTATATTCCCTAAACTTTAAGTACAACTTAGACTTGAAGTAGATGCACATTTGCAATGATATGAAAGCACCTACATAGATTCACCACGAAAACCAAATGAAATTTCGCTTAAAAAGCTGTTTATCTCAGAGCTTTTAGCTTGCTACTCACACACAGCTGATTGTTATGTATGTGATGTGCGCTTTACTCGTGATTAATTTGCGAGCTGAAGACAATTTACAGCTGGTGTTATTGCAGCTTGAGTGTAGTAAAGGCGACTTGTCGCCCAGCACCTAGAAAGTATGCAATGGAAATTGTTTGCAGCGCCAGTGGCGCAGGCAGAGGCAGCAGCGGCCACGCCCCCACGCCTACACGGAGGCAGCGACACGCACAGAAGAACAAAACGTTGCGTACAACAACAGCAAGAAAAGCGCACAACAAATTTCTTTATAATTCACAAAGGAAATGCCAAGCTCAAGCAGTAAAGTGAGCACACAACTAACACACACACACACACACACACACACACACACGTACACGCACACGCACACTTGTCTGGAAAGTGTGGAATATGTAGTCAAAATGTGACACAAACATGTGTACGTTCAGCTGCCGCCTACGTCAACTGTTTGCCACGCAGCAACAAAAGGAGCAGCCAAAGGATTACACAAACGAAACAGGAGCAGGAGCAGGAGCAGGAGCTGGAGCTGGAGCAGCAGCAGCAACTCTAGCTGTGTGGCAGTAATACGTGCGTTTCTAATACGCAACATTGTGCGCACCATACATCATAGGCAAAGGTCCTGCGCTTTTTGGGTGCTGCCGCGCCCGGGGCAACGTCAACAAGAAGACGACACGAGCTACACTGAGCGAAATGGGCAGGCAACAAGTCACAAAAGTTGCCCCTATCCAGTTAGATATACGAGACGTCCCGTTTTGCATGCATAGACATATGTTGGGCCCGTTTTCGCGCAGTGTATGGCCTGCCAGTTGGGCGACCTTGATTGCGTTTTGCAGTCGACTGTGACTCGGTCGTGGGTTTGGCAAACGCATAAAATGTATTTAACACACAATTTATGTCTGCACGAGGCGCTCAAATTTACAGGCCACAGGCAGTGGAGCAGCAGCAGCAGCAGCAGCAGGGGCAGCGAGAGTGGGCGGGGGCCGAGTGTAGCAGGAGGAGGAATCGCCGTGCAGCGGCAGTTGCGGCACGTTTACACAGGTTTATTTTATTAGCGCGCTGCGCAGTGGCACAAACGTCTTTTGACAGCATTCTGGACTACGCTCGCACAGGCTGCACAGTGGTGCAAAGTAGTGTGTGAAGAGTGGTGCACAGTGGCACGAAAAGCTCAGGACAATATGCATTCAAGCCAATGATAGCTCAAGTTAAGAAATGAAAAAAATATATATGTCTATGTATATATTTTTTTACACACATTTTAGTCAGTTGCAACCACTGTGCCATTTGTTCTAGACAGGCAAATTGGCCCGCAGGGCCATCAAGCCAAAAATCATATGTTTTATACATGCGGAAAAGTTCCAATCCACAGGCTTTTGTTCTGTGTGTGTGCCAGTGTGTGTGTGTATGTGTGTGTTGTGTGTGCTGGAAAAAGTTTAATAGACTTCCCTTTAAGATTGCCAGATTTTTTGGTTCGCTCACTCTTCGCTTGCTGCGTCGCAGCAAAGTTTTTATTTTGCTTTTATGACTTGGAAGCTTTTGCATTTTTAAGCTGCGGCAGCAGGAGAAGAAGAAGAAGAAGGACACACGTTTTATGAGGCCCCACAACAATTCGCATTATTGCTACAAATGATCGACCTGATGATAGGTAAACCCTTCTCGTTTTTTTTTTTTTTTTTATCCACTTTTATGGGCAGCTCTGAAAACAGTTTTCCTTTCGCTGGAATTTAAGGCATTTCCCCTGCCGCAAAACTCATTTAAAACTTAAAAACTTGCACACAATTATGTTGTGAGGCACACCCACATACACACACACACACACACATGTGGCATGTGACATTTTCCCAGGCAGACGGACGTGGCAAGGAAAACTTTTAATTTTCCGCAAATGCATGGCAGACCCTTTTCTTAAAAAGAACTTTTCATTTTTAATTAAATGGCAGCCGCAGCTATTCCAGAGATGGGGCGGAAGACTCTCTATGAAGTTCGCTTGCAGCACACAGGAAACGTCACAGGGAAACGAGAAAAACTTTCGGGAAAACCGCCTTCTACACTGAAGCTCAATTAGTTAAAGGCGCGCGCTCGCTCGCCCGTTTGGCTCAATCAAAGCCGAACAACACAAAATATTTGTGCCTCAGCCCACAAATCGTGCCATTATTATTTGTTTGTTTGGGCTGCTTATCAGCTGGGTTCGCTCCGAGTTGAGCCCGAAGTGGCTCAAAGCCAAACGCTGATCACATCAACGGGCAACGG